GCCAGTAAGCCACAGTGAAAGCAAAAATGAAATGATCAAGAACTGATATTTCAGGAGGATCTGTACTATCCACACCCACTTATTCAAGATATGTTATGGGGACTTCTTCATCACGTAGCAGAGCCTATTTTGACACGCTGGCCTTTTTCCAAGTTGAGAGAGAAGGCAATTGAAACCGCAATCAATCATGTTCGCTATGAGGATGAGAACAGTAGATACCTTTGCATTGGCAGTGTAGAAAAGGTATTTATATATATGTATGTATGTATGTATGTATGTATTGTATATACATAACTAGTTGTGGCCCCCACCTGCAAAGGTTGAGATAAAATTTTTATTGCCCACAAATCAAAATCAAGGATCAAGAAGTAAAATAATACTCTTCCAGTCCTTAATATAGGACCCAATTGTTGAGTTAGTTTTAATCCTAAATATAAGACCCATTTATCATATTTATCAGTTTTTTCTAAATTACCCCTATAGATACTCCCTCAACTATAATCAAGTAGAAGAGGGAGAGGAAGTATTAAGAAAGATGATTATGGTGTTTTAGGAAAAATATGTCACTTTTCTCATAATTAACTAATTTACCTAACTTCTTTAATCTAATCAAATTAGTTAAATGGGTCTTATATTAAGGACCAGAGGAGTAGCACATAGCTTAGAAAAGAGGTGGAACTGATACTGTTCTTAGCTATAGTACTGGTTCCACCAGATTATGTATATGGATTAGCTTGCTAAAGAATTCACCAATATCTCTTAGCTTATATGAACAGGTTCTAATATCACTACTTAATGGACATGACAGGTATTATGTTTGATAGCTCGTTGGGTTGAAGACCCCAATTCAGAAGCATACAGGCTTCATCTGGCCAGAATCCCTGATTACTTCTGGCTCGCTGAGGACGGCTTGAAAATCCAGGTTAATATTATAACTTGTTCATTTACATTCTGAGTCAAATCCTTCAAATTAGAACCTTAAAAGCCTATACAATCTCTAACAACATAAATGTACTGATAATTTTATGTATATACAGAGTTTTGGTTGTCAAACGTGGGATGCAGCGTTTGCTATACAAGCAATCCTTTCTTGTAATCTGAGCGAAGAGTATGGACCCACACTTCGCAAAGCACATGACTTCGTGAAGGCTTCACAGGTTACAACCTGTTACTTAATCCGTGGCAATTAACCCGGTTGAATTCTCTCTATTTTCAAATGAGTCTAAAGACTTTGAATATATTTTAAGGTGCGAGACAATCCTTCAGGTGACTTCAAAGCCATGTTCAGACACATATGCAAAGGAGCATGGACATTCTCAATGCATGATCATGGTTGGCAAGTCTCAGATTGCACAGCAGAAGGGCTCAAGGTTGCATATATATATATATATATATATATATATATTTAAATGTGCAAGCAAACTTTTTTATTGGTAAAAATTTTTTGGGTGACCATAGCTTTTAATTGGATCATTTTCTTCATCTTATTACAGGCTGCACTCTTGTTCTCACAAATGCCTACTGATCTAGTTGGGGAAAAAATGGAAACACAAAGGCTCTATGATGCTGTTAATGTCATCCTCTCTCTACAAGTAAGCCTTTCTAACTACAATCTCATTTTTCTCTCTAAAGAAGAACAAGCCAAGCAGCAATAGAAACATAAACATGATTGATTCCATGTATGGTTGACATTGTGCACAGAGTAGCAACGGTGGATTCCCAGCTTGGGAGCCTCAGAGAGCCTATCGGTGGTTAGAGGTAAGAAGGAAAAAAATTGAGTATGCAAAAGATTGATGAACAACTCTCAACTAAGTGACATTCATGTGTTTTGCAGAAATTCAATCCAACAGAGTTCTTTGAAGACACTCTAATTGAGATGGAGTAAGCTCATACCGTTAATTGATGTGCTGTTTACCACAGGTTATCTGATTCTTACAGTGTGCCATTTTGTGAAACAGGTATGTCGAGTGCACAGGATCAGCAATGCAGGGGTTGGCTCTCTTTAGAAAGCTATACCCAAAGCATAGAAGAACGGAAATAGATCACAGCATTGCTAAAGCAGCTCAATACCTTGAAGACACACAAAATCCTGATGGTTCATGGTATCCAATTTCATTTTTCATGCTTTACATCCATGCCCTTTGATGCACAATAATCTACTGTACAGCTATATGTTACGCATTTTATCATTCCAACTGATGCCCAGTCTAAACTAATTCTAACAAAAATGCACGTATCACATGTTGATCTCTTTGACATCCCTTGAAAATAAATTACCATGCAACGTATTTGTTGTTTACCAAAGTAACTCATGTAAGCACTAAAAAATTTATTCGGATAGTAAGGTACCATTACCAAACAAACTTTTTATTTCACTTGTACTCTAAGAAATAACCTACTCGACAGGTACGGTTGCTGGGGAATATGTTACACATATGGTACCTGGTTTGCTGTAGAGGGGCTGACATCCTGTGGGAGAAATTACCAGAACTGTGAGGCACTGCGGAAAGCTTGTCGGTTTTTGTTGTCAAAGCAGCTACCTAATGGTGGCTGGGGAGAGAGCTACCTGTCAAGTCAGAATAAGGTATGAAATGTGTTTTTCATTGAACATCGATACTTCAAAATTGATTCTGTTATGTCTGTCGTTCAACCATTATATATATCAAAGAAGACATATTTTTCTGTGTATACACTGATAAGATGTGCTACCTCCGGTCCTAAATATAAAAACCAATTGATTAATTTGAGTAGATTAAGGAAATAAGTTAAGATAATTATTTGTAATAAATAAGCGTTGTCTTTTTTAAAACATCCTTGCTAATCAAGTTTATTAGCTAGAACTACCGTTATTAGAAGGACTATCTTGAAAAAAATAAATAAATATAAGAGACAAAATGAATTGAAATTTTATATTTAGAATCAAAATAAAATTAAATGGATCTTATATTAAGGATCGAAGATAGTATTACTTATGACTTGTGAATAACATGGCTTGTTATATAAATTTTATTATATATATATAGATGTATTGATATGAATTTCACTTGGAAGTTGCATACTAATTGGCAAAAGAGAGAATAATTGAAGCTACAGAAGAGGCTATATATTCACATGCCTTCCTTACAAAACAGGTATATACGAATATTGAAGGCAACCGTGCAAACTTAGTTCAGACCGCATGGGCTCTGTTATCCCTCATTGATGCCGGCCAGGTTAGTAAAAGCAAAACTATTCAACTATTTAATTAGATTTTTATTTTTATTTATTTTGGGGACATTCCTGAACATAGACTATGATTAAGATTTAAGCATGCATCAAAGTGCCATAATAACCACAAATTCGCTGTATTGTTTCTTGTGACTACAGGCCGAGATAGATCCAACACCTATACACCGTGGAATAAGATTGCTGATCAATTCACAAATGGAAGATGGGGACTTCCCCCAGCAGGTAATTCGATAATCAATTCGACATTGTTTCTCATTACAAAAATCCTATCTGCAATTTTCTCAGTAAGTTTGGTACAGAATAGTATAAATAAGCTTTCAATTTCATCGTTGTTGGATATATGGACATTACAGGAGATCACGGGAGTATTTATGAGGAACTGTACCTTGAACTACTCGTCGTACCGGAACATCTTTCCGATATGGGCTCTCGGAGAATATCGCCGACGGGTCCTCTATGCATGATACTCGAAACCCTCCCCGCCATTTCCAGATCCTCCCCGCCAGCTGTAGCATGTCACTCATACTTGGTGTAACTAAAATACAAGCGGTGCCTTCAAAATATAGTACTCCATAAGGGTATATACATGCATATATAATAAGTATTATAGGACTTTTTTTTTATGGTTCAAAAGGATATATGTAATTTGCCGGTCAAAAAAAAAAAAAGGATATATGTAATTTACAATATTATACCTTTTTGTATGGTTCATAAGGATATATGTAATTTCTCTGTGTAATCGCTGCAATGTATTGTGACCTTCGAAGCATAAAAATGTCTATATTGTTCCTTGTATTCTAATTCTTCTTTGAGACCCTATCTCTGTATTATTTTTTTGCCTTCCAAACAATTCTTCAAAAGTCACATTTAAGTCCTAAAAGAGAGGATTAATGGCAGATAGTTCTCTAATTTCTTTTCAAATAGAGTTACAAATAAATATCAATTCAGACAAATGCAAACAAAATTCAGCTGCAAATTGAAAATTATATTTTAAACTGAAATTTATCATCTGCATCTTCGACTTCTAAATTTGAAAATGTTGATCAATTGTAAATGCGAATGCCTTGAGGAACAGCCTCAAACACGGTCAAGTGTTTTTTTTCCCGAGGCAGAGCATCTTCAGAATAGCAGACTAAAATTTTTATTAGTTATATAAAATGTAATATTTCATTAAATGTGCAATTTTAGAGCGTCCATAATAAAATTCAAAATTCAATACTTATTGCCTTGATAATAATAAAAAAAATTCAACATTTATTATTCTAATTCTTTATATACGTGTGTCTCCATTAGAAAAGGCATGGACATCTATATTACTTCCATAAACACGTAACTTCATTTTGCAGGGATAGAAGTCACGGAATCGAATTTAATAATGAAAGGATGTTGAAGATCGAGACTTCCCATAGGTAATGTCATCATTAATTTGACACCTTCAAATAATGTGTTATGTATTTATGAAAAGAATAATATCAGAAGATATTTTTTTTGGGTATAAATATCAGAAAATATAATTATACCTCATCAGAAATGCATTTGCTGGCAAGGTCACGAACCAGGACCCAACCCTTGTGGTGTGGCCCAGAAATTAAAGGAACAGACAATTATTTACTAAAGTTCTCTGCTCCCCAAATAAGACCCACTTAGGTCTCATTACAAGTAACTTATAAACAACTTTTCGATCTTAATTTATAAAAGACGAGGTAAATATTATATAAACATGCTATCATGAATCAATACCAAAACAGTATGGAGATTCTCAGTATTCATAAATGCAATATGGCATAGGAGTACTTATTCCCCCACAAATACTATAATCACAATCACTAACCAGAAAATTTCTATGTACAAGTACAGCAAGGCCAAACTCACATTAAAAAGGAGATAGGAGATAAATTATTTGTAAATATTCAGCGTGAAAAGGCAGATAATTGAGGATTTTCTAAACTTGTATCATGCTTAAAATCTTAAAAATTAAGGTAACTTCCGTGCAAACATACAACAATGCCTATAAAACACGCCCTAAATTTTAGTATTTGCTCAGACGCGCAAGAAAACCGGCTACAAGCAGGGAATGTTCAATAAAAAATTTCCATCACACATTCATAGACATGATTTGACGTGCGAGACCAGGATCATGTTGTAACAGCTCCCTCAAATTATTTTCCACCTCAGCGATCTGCTTCTCTAGGTATTCTTTTGAGCTCTGTCCAAAGCCATAGAAAACAACTAATTTAACCTGACCTGAGTACTAAGCTCATATTTATTGGTAGAATACTTTACACTGATGTCATGTCAGCTCAAATAAAGAAGGGAAAGTTACTATGTGGTCTCAAGGAAAGAATGTAATTTCCAAAAAAATCTCATAACAAGTGAATAACAAGTTCTAATGTAGAAAATGACAAATCCATGCTGCTCACTTATCATTGGGTCTTTTTGGTAGTTATGTTCCTTTATTGGGAGTCCATAGTGATTTCTCCAAAACAGAATATTTTACAGTGTAGTCAGGTCAGAAAGGAATAAGGATACACACCTGTAAAGAGGTAATTGAAGCTTCACTATCCTTGATCTTGTTCTCCTGTTCAGTCATTAAAGTTGCCTTGGTCTCTAATACAAACCTGCACATGAAAGTAAATTTATTACAGGACGTCATTTACATATCCAACTACCAATAGCCAAGGCATTTCCTGTACTCTACTTAGATTGATGTTCAAATAGGTATGAACAACTCACATTCTCCCTGCAAAACAAGATAAATGGAGACATAATATGAGAAGTCGATCACAGAGCAGTAGGTAAATGAATTGTGCAAGTGGCAGAAGAGAGAAGCTTGTAAAAACAGATCATTCATTTTAGACAGACAGAAAACCAATTTTTCCTTTTACAGGATTGTTATTACTATTGCGTTCGTAATTACAATTGACTATTGCTATATCACACAATTTCATCCAGAAAAAAAACTCCATCACATAACAAAAACATGAGAATCTGATTCCAGTACCGATGGATTTGTATGCATTAGTATCATTGGGCAACTGCCGCAGCTCCTCCAAGGTTAGGAAAGCTCGCTTCTTTTCACCTTCCTTGTTACGCATCTGGTTCTGCACCTGAAGACCAAAGGTAAAAAGAAACTTGAATTTCAAATTATCTAGGAATTCCTAGTATGAGCATATAACTTTGAGGAGCAAAATTTTAATGTATTCCTTTCATTTTAGCTTTTATCATTTTCTTATATTTCAGGGCCTATAAAAAAATAAAAATAATAGCATTTCACAATTTAGATATAGTTATTCTCAGAAAGAATTGATAATGGCCAGAAATGAGCATGCAAGCTGTAATTAAGGCAGAACGAACTATGCCTTGAGTTTCACTTATCGATAGCATAGTACTGGTGCAATGACCAACGCACTCATAACCCACAGTTTTTTTTTTAAAACTCAAGCAAAACAAAAAACTGTTGACCTAGAAGTACTTTACACGTACATCATAAATAATTCAATTTTTGAAAATACTGGTATCAATACTCCAAATATGTAAAAAAAATATATGGTATGTTAATTTATTGACCTGACGTTAGAATATAAAACAGTGCTGTATAGATGTAAAATTATGTTAGAACAAAGAGCTATATGGGGTCAGCAAATTTGCAACGTGTCTTTTTGTGTTCCTTATTTTGAGAATTGTTGTTCAGTTGTCCAGAAAGAATTTTTGGACCCTAGAGTGAAACCTCTCCGTAGTAGGAGAATGAGCAAGGAAATGAAAAGTGATATTGGTAAAGACAAATGACAGAAGAATCAAGATTCAAAACTTCCACATCATAAAAGAAAAAGGAACAGGTTTGATTATATACAACAGGGTATGGACTTCATTAACTTATCGGTCAGGTCATTGATCATTCTCCCAGAATAGATTGGAACTATCAACAGTGAGGAAATCACAAATGGAAGAATTGTGAAAAACAAAAAACCCAACAATGACAGGGGTATGTCTCAAGAAAGGTCTTCTCAACCCCACGCAACCTCCCAAAATCTTATTTTCGAGCCATTAACCAATTCAGACAAATACGCTTGCAAAACAAAATTCAAAGGAATTGGATAAGTCATATCTACTGAATTGTCGGAATTCCAACTGTTATGATTTTTGTACTTGTTCAAATTAACTAGTGCCCTGAAGCGTTCCAATTAGCTGCCGTGTCAATGGTAGCTAAGCCTAACTATTCGAGGTCTGAATGATAGTTAATGGGTGGTACTCGATGAGGTGTGGTTCTAACTTGGTATGATCACCATCAAACTTATCATTCATCCCCCATGCAGTGCAATTGCCACAATTTTGTTTTTAAATCGGCTCGGTTTGGTACCATGGTTAGGATATTTTTTAAAATGGATCAACACCTCCGCTTAACCAGATATGTTAGGTCGTCATAGAACCCCAGAACCAGAAACTCAAGGAAAAATCATATGCTAAAACAGTTTCGAACCGATTTCTATACCCCATACGAGATTGAAAAATTTCGAAAGTAACACAGATTTCACCTGCTTCAGCTTCGCGGTAGTCTCGATCATGCGACCTTGAATTTCAAGGAAAGCCTGTACACAACCAACCGGTAGAAAAGGTCAGGTTAGGCATTCGGACCACGCCAAAAAACGTATTAGCTAGTGCAGGAAGATTAGCGTTTTATGACAACATGACTTGGTCCTTACAGTTCTATTGCCTTCGTCTGCCATCTTCCCCTCTTTAGACCTCAGACAGAAAATTCCACACTTCAGTGGCTATGTACGAGTTTCTAGGTCAAATCCAATGTAACTTGCAAGTCGCAAGATCGCAGAATCGGGGGAGATAGTACGACTTTGTGAGGTCGGCCACCTAGAGGAGTGTGGGACTGCGGCCTGACTTGGCTTGGCCTGAATGGTTCAGGCTCAAGCCTGTGATCCCAATTAAGTTTGCCAAACAGTGTTTGATAATTCCCACATATTTTATTAAAAAAATTAAAATTAAGTCATGATGCTGTCAATAATCACAAAAAGTCACAAGTTCAAATCCCCTTAACGTATAAAAGAAATAAATTCTCTTCAAAAATAAAATTCAAACTTTAAATTACAGAAAAATACACGCACAAAATTCTGATTTTAAGGTATACAAAAATAAATTCATTTCAAAAAGTCAAGATGAATGAATTAACTAAGGCTCTCAATTGAATATTGTCCGAGCCTATCCTTTTCTATTTATAAATCAAGGGGTGCAATTGCATTGCGACACCTGTCCTGTACAGATTATTCTAGAGGCAATAACCGAATGGCTATAATACAAATATATATACTTTAGGAGTGTACAGAAATAATATTGTTTAACTCCCTCCTTTACTTCGAACCTCCTTGGTCTTCCTCTTTTCCTTGGTGGTCTTTGGAATTTCTTGTATGGTCTTGGTAGGTGATACTGCAACACCTAGTTTGTCCCTTAGATAGCAGAATCGTGCTTGATTTAGTGGCTTAGCGAGGCAGTCAGCTACTTGATATTCAGTGGGAACATATTTCACGGTCAAGGCCTTGGACATGATTTGATCTCTAATGAAATGAGTGTCAATTTCAATGTGTTTTGTCCTGGCATGATGTATGGGGTTTGATGCTATAGCTGCAGCACTTATGTTATCTTGGATTTTGAACTTTAGTTCTGAAAGTAGAGACTTTATCCAACATAATTTAGCAGCTGTGTTTGCTAGTGATCGATATTCTGATTCAGTGCTGGAACAGGCAACTACTTTTTGTTTCTTGGAAGACCAAGTAACAAGTGAATCTCCAAGGAACACACAGTATCCTCCAACTGATCGTCGATCATCAGGACAAGAGGCCCAGTCTGCATCTGAGTAGGCCACAATATCAAGCAAGGAGGATGGTTTGATATGGATACCATGGTGTATGGTGCCTTTGAGATATCTTAACACTCTTTTAACTGCTTTCCAGTGGGCCGTTGTAGGTTTAGAGAGAAATTGACTCAATTTGCCTACACAAAAACTTATATCTGGCCGAGTGTTGCATAGGCATTGAAGCGCTCCTACTGCACTTCGGTATAAAGATGGGTTTGACAAGTCTTCACCTGAATGAATAGACAGTGAATTGTGGGTTGCCATGGGAGTCGAGCATGGAGTTGCATTGCTCATTCCAAATCTGTCAAGAAGGTCTACAATATATTTGCCTTGGGTTAGATATAATCCAGATTTATCTCTATTAGCTTCAATCCCCAGGAAATAGTGCAGTGAGTCCAAGTCCTTGAGTGAGAATATGCTGTGCAGTTTTGTAGTGAAGCATTTGAGGCTATATGAGTTACTCCCAGTCACCAGGATATCATCAACATATATTAAAATAATCAAGATCTGTGTCTTTTCAGCATACACAAATAAGGAGACATCACTTTTGGAGTTTGAGAATCCCCAATTCAGCAACATGTTTCTAAGTCGATCAAACCAAGCCTGCGGGGCTTGTTTCAAGCCATATAATGCTTTAGACAGTTTACACACACGTGTTGGTCTAGATGTATCTATGAATCCTTCTGGTTGTTCCATATATACAAGCTCAGACAAATATCCATTTAGGAAAGCATTATTGATATCTAGTTGTTTGATATCCCAATGAAAATAAATAGCAATTGCAAGAACTATTCGAATAGTGGAAGTTTTAATAACTGGACTGAAGGTGTCATAGAAATCAATACCTTCAGTTTGTTGGAACCCCTTTGCCACAAGTCTTGCCTTTCTTTTGGATAATGATCCATCTGCATGAGACTTTAATTTGAATAGCCACTTGTTCTCAACTACATTTTGCTTGTGATCTCTAGGAACCAGAGTCCACGTCTTGTTCTTTTGAAGTGCAGAAAACTCATCAATCATAGCTTGTTTCCAATAGGGTGATTTCAGCGCCTCCTTGACTGAACTGGGAGCACTTTCTTGAATCTGTGTCAGCCCAATATATGGCAGTTTTGGCTTATAGATCCCACTTTTACTCCTTGTCTGCATTGTATGCGTATTAATTGGTAGTGACAAAGCATTTTGAGTAGTTTGGGTGGCTTGCTCTTGTTGTTCAGATATAGATTGAGTATCTAATGCTTGTGAATGACTTGCTGCATTTAGTTCTGAGCTACTTTCAGAGGATGTGGAGCTGTTTGAATTCAAGCTTCTTGATGTGCTTGCTGTTGTATCATTCTGATTTGCATCTCTTGAAGTGTACAAGACAGGGGCATATGACTGAGAAGGTGGTTCACATTCTATGTTGCTCTTCTGTTGTGTGTTTTGCAGAGAAGAATGTCTTTGATAGTCATTTATATTCTGCACTTCAAGTAATTCAACAGAGGTAGGTGTTGGACAGTTCATCAGTTCATTTTGTTGAGGTTGCTTCAGATTGATGAAACCTTTCTCAAATGGAAACTCATTTTCATCAAACATCACATGTCTAGAGATATATACTCTACCAGTGGAGATGAGACATTTGTATCCCTTATGTGATCCACTATAGCCAATGAAAACACATTTTGTACTGTGGAATCTGAACTTATTTTGATTATATGGACGTAGGCATGGATAGCATGCACATCCAAATGTCTTGAATGATGCATAGCTTGGCAGCCTTTGATGTAGAACTTCAAATGGGGATTTATTCTGTAAGATAGGAGTAGGCAATCTATTAATGAGATGTACAGCAGTAGAGAAGGCTTCCTACCATTAATACAATGGCATTTTAGCTTAAGCAAGTAGTGTGAGCCCCATTTCAACTAAGTCAGCTACCAGAGCAGGAAAAAACCGTCAGCAATGGCGTCACACTTTGAAATACCACCAACCCCACCCTAGCCGCCGCCTCTGAAAACCCTAACCTCCAAAATATCCCAAGCCAAACGATCCCACATGTCTCCTCTACAGTGATGCCTTCCATCTCCGTTACTCCTTCGTTAGCCTCACCATCCATCTCCGTTTCATCCTCACTTTCTTTTCCCTATTTCACCTTCGCACCAACAAATCCTAACCTTCTTGCTTACCCGTCATCTTCGACTCTCCTTCCTCACACTTTCCCAAACTCATCTCTTCAAATCCCAGAGATTCCAACCCAGCCACCCTCAATCTCTGTCACACCGTCAGTTTCGACCCTAAACCTCACCGGCTTCACTCCACCGAACTTCTACCCAAACCAATATCTCTCTGCTCCTTTTCAGTATCCGTACCAGTCGCCAAACATCCAAGCACGACCGATTCCTCTACTGAGCTCTCTGAATCAGGCCAGCTCCATCAAGCTGGACGGAGACAACTTTATCACATGGGAATCCATGATATTGCCAATAGTTCGAGGTCACAAACTCAACGGTTTTCTCTACGGCACTACGGCCATACCATCAGAGTATATTCTAGATGCTACAAAACAGGTCCACCCTAACCCAGCCTTTGAAGATTGGCAAGCAACAGATCAAATATTGCTGGGATGGCTTCTGAGCACAATGACAATAGAGATCGCCTCCCAAATGACCCATTGCAAATCGGCAACACAGCTTTGGACAGTAATCAATGAATTTGTCGGGGCAAATACTAGGTCCCGAGTGACTTTCCTTAAAGGAGAGTTTCAGCGTATGAAAAAGGGATCGTTAAAGATGAAAGAATATCTGGCAAAGATGAAATCCATCTCCGATAATCTAACACTAGCTGGAGCAGCTATTCCGATTCAGGATCTGGTCACCCAAACACTAGCTGGCTTAGATGCTGAATACACCCCCATTGTGGTGTTGCTATCAGAAAAGGAGAATATGACATGGACTGAACTTCAGTCAAAGCTGCTAACATATGAGGCAAGGGTGGAGCACCTCCAATCATCATCTGGCACCAGCCTCTCAAATGCCTTTGCCAATCTCTCTATTCAGACAAACTATCAGCATGACAGGGGAGGACGCAACAACAATTGGCGAAGCAGGGGAGGAAGAAGAGGATGTGGACAAGTAAACAGAGGAGGCTCACGTTACAATAACAACAAATCTGGGAAGCCATACTGCTATCTCTGTGAAAAACCAGGCCATGAGGTTGCAAACTATTTCCATCGATATGACAGGAACTATAAGGGTCCTAACAAGAGTGAAAATGCCTCTGCCTATATTGCCACTCCTGAATCAGCAAGTGACCCAGCATGGTACCTGGATACAGGAGCCACCCATCACGTAACTCATGATCCGGAAAATGTGAGCTCTAATAGAAACAATACAGGTATAGACTCTTATGGTTGGTGATGGTACTTCTTTAAAGGTTCTGAAAACTGGATCATCTAAACTGCTGTGTGAAAACTCTGACAAGCATCTTCAGATGAATAATGTACTGGTTGTGCCTAAAATCGCTAAGAACCTGATCAGTGGATATAAATTGACCAATGATAGCTCTGATACCAAGTCAAGATGAATGAATTAACCAAGGCTCTCAATTGAATATTGTTCGAGCCTATACTTTTCTATTTATAAACCAAGGCGTGCAATTGCATTGCGACACCTGTCCTGTACAGATTATTCTAGAGGCAATAACCGAATGGCTATAATACAAATATATACTTTAGGTGTGTACAGAAATAATATTGTTTAACTCAAAATAATTCCTCAGGCAAATTTTAATCCAACGAGTTGGCAGGAATGATTTCTTATACAACTTAAGCTGTTTCTTTTGCCTCGATTCATATATTAGGCTGGTTTGAGTCTTGCTGAGTATAATTTTTAATCTGAAAAATCAAAATTGATTTGAACTGAAAAAATCATAATGTAAATAAAAACTGTTATCCAATTTTTACTTGATTAACTTGTGTTGACAAA